GTACTGCACGAGAAATACGGTCTAGTGTTTTCATTTCTTTTATACTTTTATCTATATAGTTTTATTAATATCGCCGAATGTCTGCGACTACTGTCGACTGTCACAACAAAACATTTTTGTTATTTCTTGCAAAAGGCGCGGATGAATTACGATATGCGGTTAGTAAACATAACCGACATTGGCCTGCAAGCAGGCTCTCTAGGGGAAAGAGAGCCTGCAGCAAGGATCCCTATGATGATTGCGTGCCGCCCTTCAATTTAAGAAGGAAAAAAGTATGGCAGCTATATCTTCGAGGAAAATTAATTGAGTTCCAAATAAGATAAGTGGCCTACGTTTCAAGAATACCCTGAAATCGCTAGTCTATGCAGGGTGTATAAAAAAAAGCAACCTCGGAATTTTCCAACTGAAAAATCGACATTGTTTTAAGGACAAAAGATTTTAGGTGCCTGGGAATTTAAAATAGCACAACTGTTGAAATTACTGCACACGCGAGTGCATAAAGCAAAATTTATGCATTTATTTAACAGTACAACAACAATGATATGGTCTATTTGCAATTCGATTTCAATTCCCAGGGGCCTAAAATCTTTTATGCTTAAGAATTGCAAAGTGGTTTTCTTAGGAAATTCCGAGTTTGCGTTTTTTATATACACCCTGTGCAGGGTGTCTCAAAAAAACCCAAAATCATTGAAATAACGTATTGTTCGAATTTCAATGCCGTAACACAAAGGATTTTGACAGGGTGATTAATTGTTTGCTCATGGGAATTTAAAAATGCTTCGTAAATTCGTGGGTTTAGTACTTTATGCCTGACATAACAAGTTTACGCTGAGTATTACCATTCATTATAGCAGTTATGTCAATCTTTTATGCACTCGTGGGATTAACTTAGTGCTAGGGCATTGAATATCGAACAATACGTCAATTTCAATGATTTTGGATTTTTTTAAGACACCCTGTACTGTACAGGTGTCCCAAAAAAACGAAAACTATTGAAATCGCTTATTGTTAAAATTGAATGCCCTACCAAAAAGCTGAACGTAATGATGCGTAAAATATTGACAAGGTACATGTATTAAAATTTAGTTAAGACATCTCCTTGTAAAGTGCGCGATTTTCTGCTCTTGGGAATTTAAAGCAGCTTCTTAAAAAGTCTCTTTGTGCATAAAATTTAGGCAGCGTTTACACTGTACCGTTTTCGTAGCGTTCTCGTATTGTTCGAGAGAACTAGACTATTGTTTTGCGTTCCCTTGAGGATTAAGAACAATACGAGAACGCTACGAAAACGGTACAGTGTACTGAACACTGCCTAACTTGTGTCAATCATTTATGCCCTCGTGGGAACCAACAGAGTGCTAAGGCATTGAAATACTAACAATTAAATTGTTATTGGTACTTTCAATAGTTTCGTTTTTTAGGGACACCCTGTTGGTGTCCCCAAAAAAGTGACACTATAGAAATTATCCTATTGACTATTGTTATAATTTGAATGCCCTGCATTAAGTTGATCCCACAGGTGCATAAACTTCTGCTTCTGGAATTTAAAATAAAAAAGCAAAC